AAAAAAGCAAAATTATATTATTTAGTTTCTGATTGATGTAAATATTGTAAATTACTCTGAACTATAATTATCTCTTTTGTCTTTTCACTATTATTTCTGTTTGTAAATAGTATATTGCTCTTATTCATGGTTGTTGAAAAATAGGGGCCTTACGTAAAAGTCCAACTGGATTTCCAAAGGTCCCTAGCCTTTTATATTATTATATTCTCATATGCTTTGTATATATATTTAAAAAACTCATTAATAATTCATGAAGAAAACACAAAGAAAAATCATAAGCGTGTCATATCTGTATATGTGATACAGATTCATGTTGATTTACATAAACTTTAACTTTGATTTTCTCGGCTTAGACAACGTTTATTTTTAAAATTACTTCGCCAATGAACTCATAAGATGAGCCGTTTTTTAAGTTGTTTACAACATTCACGTCCGTGTTGTATCAGATATACAAACTCTCACCTTCGGCTCGAGTTTGTATATCTGATACAACGCGGCCGCTCATGTTGTAAACATTACATATATATATATATATATATATACATATACATATACATATACATATACACATACACATATATACATATACACATATACACATATACACATATATACACATAGATACACATAGATACACATAGATAGATAGAGATAGAGATAGATAGATAGATAGATAGATAGATAGAGATAGATAGATAGAGATAGATAGATAGATAGATAGATAGATATATATATCGATTTGTGGGCAAATAAATATCTATCTATCTATTGACATGTACAAGATACTGAGATTAGTGACCTGTAAAAAGACAAATAAATATATTTAATGCATTCCATTTTGATAGCTGCTGAACAGAAAAATAAGGGAAACATTTCCCCAGCATGGCAAGTACACTTCATAGTGATTGTTTAATGCTAATTATATTTTCAATACACTTTCCAACCAGTTGGTTTTTATTTAGAATGGTGATCCAGAATAGATGAAACTTAACAGTACTCTTAAATATTTAATGTCACTTGTAATGTCACTCTGTTCAATGTCTGATTAGTCAAACGGAACTTTGTCATGCATGGATAAATCTCCTAGGCAGGTCATGTAATTATGTTCTTTATTGTTCTCCATAATATTGTGATGCATATACAATTCATATCACCATATTAAACCTTTATTGGGAGCTTCATAAAGATATTTGCCTACCAGAAAACACAAAAGGCTAGGGGTCTATGCATATTATATATATACAACAATAACAAAATGAAGTATTTTATACACACCTTTCATTTCACACCTTAAGTTTTTAGCTTGTCTATTTGGTCAACAATTAGTGCATTTAACAGGAAAATCATGATTACGACTGTTTCTGGCCACATGGCAAACAGTTGAAGAGATTAAGGTTTTATCTAGAGATTTGAATTTTTGCATTATGCCTAATAATATTGATAAATTTCAATTCAAAAAGGATATAGATGAATTTGGACAGCGTATTAAATATTTTTTGATAAAGTTAAGAAATCGAAAGCGCAAAAACTAACCGTTTGAAATACCTAGCTTTCTCATTTAAAATATTTTTGCTGTTGTAAAAAAGTGCTTTTAAGTGCTATTCACTGCTGTTGGGTGTTTTAGTGGAGTTTTCAACTACAAAAAAATTGTATTAATATTATTCGCTGGTTATCTACGACCTGTTGTGGGCCACTTTGTAGAAGCAACAGTGTAAAAAATCCAGAACTGTCTTTCTGCAAATTCTCCCAAGATTCCAGCTTAACCCTTTAATTGGCAAATATTGAAAAGTCTGGATAAAAATTTTTTACATAATTTTTTACATGGGCTCAACACCAACAAAATTGGACACCAGGTGGACTGGACCATTGTCAAACCATTTGACAATAATAATGCCAGTATTGGAATCTGAGCGGTAGTCAAGACTACCATGACCAGCACTCTTGGTGCTGGTCATGGTAGTCAAGACTACCATGACCAGCACTCAATTGCTATCGTTGGCATTTATCATAGACCATACTGCACTTTTAAATCTTTTATTATATAATGCTGGAAAGAGGCAGATCAACATATACCATTTCGCAAAAGGCACGTTTGGAACAAGCGTGGTCGTCTGGGTTGCGATCAACTGGTAAACAAAGCGCGTCACAGATTTCATTGCTTGCCGAAGAACTCGATCTTTCGACAGATAAAGTTAAGGTAAATGTAGTATTTCTATAAAAACTGCAAACAGAATTGCTATATATTATATATTTTATTGACTTGCTTCTAATCTATTAATTTAAAATCTATCTTTTAATATATATTTATAAAAACACGTGCTTGCTGGCCATTTTAGCGCGATACCCTCTGGCGCGATACTATAAAATACTTCAAATATTTAAATATAATGATAATAGTAAAAAAAACTACTCATTTCTTCAATTCAGTGTAAATATAAATGTATTTGATGGTGCTTGTGTCATAAACATCGAGATACATTGCGCTATGCTTAGTTGTAGCCTTCAAGTTAAATGCTGAAAATATTGCATTGTGATCTGGCTTTATAATATCAGTATATCATATTTCTTTGTATTTCTATATTAAATATATGTATAGGTTCTCATAGTCGAGGAATGAAGTGATACCAGTTTTATCACTTGAGGATGATAACATTATTGTCACGAGTAAAAGCAGTGAATGAGGACAATCATGATATCGTACAAAAAGGCTAGAGGGATAAACTGATAATGTCAGTGGCGTAGCCAGCCCAACAATTTAGTCCCACCACAGAGTAGAGACATACAGAGACGTAACTAGTGTACCCACTTTTTTTGTGCGCATGCTCGGCAAGTTACTAGATGCATGCATCTGATTGGATGACGGCCTGATGACGACTCACTTTAAACTTGCTGAGCACGCACAGTTAATCATTTTTCGCCTGGTCGCCTGAAAAAAAGTGGGTACATGATAACGTAATCTTTCGCAGTGTTTACAACGGTCAGTTACGTCTCTGTATGTCTTATCTACTCTGTGGTCCCACTGTGCAAATTCAAAGTTATTATCTTTATTCATTTCTTTAGAAATTAATTGTTTTCACAGTCAATCAACATGAAAATATTTGCATAACAGGACGAAATCATCAGGCTGGCTACGCCACTGAATAATGTACTTGTCAATTGTAACCCTCCCCCCCCCAACCTCAGGGAAAGGTGGGGACATGTGGGGCATTTCCCCTCTTTTGACTCTTTGTAATGCCTGCCTAGGCGGGAGATTTTCCATTCTCACAGAATAGCAATATTTGCAATCATTTGCATATTTTTATGCCTGATCGCACACACTATTTAATTTGCATACACATTTAGATTTTAATATCCTGCGTGTGTACATAGTTCTCACTGATATTACTTTTATTTTGAAAATAAAAATCTTTGTTCAATAAAATTTTTGAAATGTTTTCAAATTTAGACAAGATTAGTCAGGTCAGCCTGCCTCAGGGGGTCAGGCAGTAGTTAAGTATGGCTATATTAATGGGGGTTACAATTGACAATTGCATAATATCAAGTGTGATATTACACAGGTTATCTAACCATTTTAGCACATACTAGTGCCTTTGTCAGGGTGATAAACAGTGGGAAATAAAAACAATATTGTCGCTAGGGACATATCGTTTTTATTTCACCCTGTTATCACCCTGATAAAGGCAGAAGTATGTGATAATATTAATATTAATTATAATTGGATTTAATTAAAGCAAGATATCACAAGCCAACCTCTTTTTCCTTGATAATTAGAAAAACTGTTTACCTCCTCAGTGGGTTGGTGTTTCATGAAAGGGGCTAGAGCAAGTGCCTTTTGGCTCTGGTCCATTAGTTTGATTCCCACATCTATATCAGACTCGTTGCATGTACAGTATATGTGAGAAGAGTTGCAGTCAATGATCTACCGAAAGGTTTGGGTTTTCTCAGATACCGACTCTCCGGTTTCCTACTGCCATGCTGGGAATGTGGGATGTAATTAGTCCGTAGTTCAGACTCTTCCACCATGGTTGTGTTTGTCATCAGACCTTAGTCATAAGGTGGTTGCCAGATGCACCCATACAAAGTCATCAACTCAATGATGTTGAACTGTGTTGTTAATACTCGGGTTGGTGGGGTAGATGTAGTTCTTACCAAGTTGTTCTTACGAATAAATACTGCAACACCCTTTGAGAAACAACAACAAGTGAATCATTTTTTTAAATATTGGGGCAATAAATATTGGGGAATAATTGGAACATTAAATAGTACTACATATTATATTTATACTAGATGTATTATGCATGTATTTGCATTTATTCCAATCGGACAAATGCCCTACGTACATGTACTCTGCTTGATTGGGAAAAGGCTAATTAAGGGTGCACCAGATAACACTAGATACATAAGAGCTTTTTGCTGTCTGCATGACCAGATACTAGATATCAGTGGCGTAGCAAACTCGATAATTGGGGGGGGGGGGCAATATTCATATATTTGTGTTCTGCATCATTAATTTCTTTTGAAATCAATTGTTTATAAGTTTGTGAACACGAATATATGAATATTGCCCCCCCCCCCCCAATTATTGAGTTTGCTATGCCACTGCCAGGTATTGTTGATTTAAGGATTGCATCTAATAGTTAATATAATTAAACATGCAAACTTTAAAATTGTCTGGTGTTACACTTAGTAAAATGCTAAAGTAGGGCACATGAGGGTGTGTGGTCTGCCAAAGGGTAAACAACACATTGATGGAGGCCGGACAGGTCTGTTAACCATTAACATGCAAGACTTTTCCTAATCACCAATTATGTAGCGTTAGTCAGAATAAAATATGAAACTAGGTCTAACCCACATGGCCACATGATCTGATCATACTGTATTATAAATGAAAGTTATCAGTCAATGTTATCAGTTATGGCTCAGACCATTTAATTCTGTCACATGGTCTATCTTGTCTAAAAATCTCCCGATACAGTACATAGTCAGTGAGTGAATTTGACATTTGAAATAGTTGACTATGATGTTTGTGATGTTACTCTTGCCCGGTGTGGATGTACACTCAGAGTAACATCACAAACATCATATTCACCTGAGTACATAACACCAACACACACAAAAAATAGTTGAATATATTAACAATTTGTAATTATATTGTTAATTATATTAGTATAATTATAAACATGATGTTCTATACATTTTATTAGACTTTCATCCGGAATCAAAACCGAAAGGTAAAAAGTAGTTGTTACAGTGGCCAGCAACAGGTGCAAGCTACTGATGAAACTCAGAAAACAAAAGCTGATGGACCACCAAGAAGGCAGAGAAAGTTGTCAGGAGCAAATGTGTTTTATCGGGAATTCATGAGAAGTGAAGGTTGTTTTAAAAATTCATAGTTTAGGATCAATCTAATGTACAAGATCATTATATCCATATACCAGCCTGTTCATTGAAGTTTATGCACTTATAACTAATTATTTACCTTGTAAATGCTCAACAGAATTGAAAAAGGTCCAGTCCCTTGCTGAGAAAAACAAAGCTTTTTCCAAAGCATGGCAAACTATGGATGAAAAGAAAAAAGAAGAATTCAACACTAGGGCAAAAAGCGAGGAGGCCGAAAAGGTTTCTTCACCAGAGTCCAAAATGGAGGTGATTAGAAATGCCTTGGTTAAACTAAAAGAACACGTATGTAAATCTACTATTCCTATTTCACATTTTATTGAACTATATATATCACGGTTATCACCTGCCACTTAATTATTGAACTATATATATCACAGTTATCACCTGCCACTTAATTATTGAACTATATATACCACGGTTATCACCTACCACTTAATTATTAAACTATATATATCACAGTTATCGCCTGTCACTTACTTGAAACAAAGTTCAAAATTAATTTGCTGCTTCCACAAACAACGTAGCCCGCGTGCAAGCCCAAGGGAAGAATAAGAATAGTGACTAGTGGGCCTGCAAGCAAGGCCCGGTGTCACAGGAGATTCGCCCCCCCCAGGAGATTCGCCCCCCCTCTCAAAAGGGGGGCGATATTCCTAGGATATTCGCCCCCCGGGGCGAATCTCCTAGGAATATCGCCCCCCTGGGGCGAATCTCCTAGGAATATCGCCCCCCTTTAGGAATTTCGCCCCCCCCATATAAATTTTGAATTTTTGATCTAAAAACAAAACGATTGCAAGTTGAAAAGATTTATTGTGTGATTTATTTATTTATTACAAGGAGACAAAATTACATACACATTTTAGGCTTCTTAGCAGCTGGTGGTGTGCACAGTCTGCATAACCACTCATTTGAGGTACTTAGACTAGTGTCATATTGACATATTCTACACATCTAAAGTGGAACCATCACAGAGATCGCATAAAATCATGTTGTCGTATTCTTCTTGCAGTTTACATTCACATAACATATTATAAAAACAATCGCTTGCAAATTTTATCAATACGAGTGTTAACAATAGCCGCCACAGTAATCACTTGCTAACAATAAACTATAGGATTAGTAAAAAATCCATGGAATGTGTTGGGAAGCGTATTGACTATTGTCCGTTGAATCGTCAACTTTCTGTGTCAGTGATATAATCTTAATTCTTCACTTCCGCAAAGAAAATTGCATTATATATGTGGTGTGGTTTATTCAAATAATTTCATGATACTTTGATTTTATTAGTGCATGCCTTAAACATTTGAGAATGTAACTCTGCAAAACTAAAAGCTTTCTTGTCTTTTTTGAAACGTATATTATTGGATTATTGCCTATTGGCAAGTTCTACCCTTTGCTTCTGAGATTTATAAACTATATTGAAATAATGCAAGTAAAAAATAGTGACAAACCATACATTTTCCGATAACGACAAAACGTGGATGCAAAACATATACCAATAATTACAATAACCACCACGGTGATTACTTTTTAACAATGAGTTTAAGGATTAACACTGAAAATGCAAAATATGCATGGTGTGCTGTGAAGCGTCATAAGTCCTATTGAGTATTCATCTACTGTAACTGTGTAAGCCCTTTCGATACATGTAATTGTAAATTTGTATTCTTACACGCAGGGCTTGAAATAACATTCCCAAAGTTCCCAATCATGGTGATCGGCAGTCGTGACTTTCCCTGCTTTTTTCACGTTGGAAACCGAAACCCTGCTTTTCCGCCGATCATAAGCAATTCCTTGCCGATCATTGATCGGTGATCGGTTGTTATTTCAAGCTCTGTCTTAACAATTTTGAATTGATACTGATTTCAAATGATTAAAGCCATGTAATAGTTATCCCATGCAACTGTTAGGAAGGGCGAAATTTTGAACGGAGGACGACAGTCCTAAAGAAAAGGTGAAGTTTCTAAAGGGGGGCGAATTTCCTAAAGGGGGGCGAAATTCCTAGGATTTTCGCCCCCCCTGGGGGGGCGATATTCCTAGGAATTTCGCCCCCCGGGGGGCGAAAATATAGGGGGGGCGAAAATCCTGGGACACCGGTATTTTGTAAAATGCTCCTTTTCATAACATGCCCCATTCGCATGTCAATTGTCAAAAAAGAACCAATGACAGCAACCCAAATATTAACAACAAACTCGCATTAAAATGTTGCGGGGTTTTCTCTGCTTATTCACAACATAAACAATGTGTAAATGGCTGCGTTTTAACTCCAAAAAAAAGCAAGCAACACAGTCAGTAATTGCCAAATTTGCAAGTGCTCATTTTCAACTAAAAAGGCAAATTAGGACGAATTTCAACAGAAAACCAGTCTCAAAATTTCAAATTGTGAGGGAAGTCGTGTGACCACATTAGCATCAGTGTGTGCTTTGCTGTCGCCATTGTTATATATAAATTGTCTCACTTATCAGATTGTGTGTGCAAATCTTGTTGGCGGCGTAAAGTACGAAATTTATTTCAGTTATTTCATTTGGTAAAGAACTCTACAAACGAAGAGAGCGTTCAGAGCGTTCATTACCGTATTCTGTTTCGCTCTCTCAGCGAAGCCTTGTAAATCGCAAAGTGTTTCGAATAGGCTTACATACAACTGCCTCTAAATCTTCACCGCGAAAAGCGCTGTTTTCTTCAGTGCAAGAACAGAGTCAACATCAACCATGATTGCCTGTCAATCAGGACTGTAATTAATGCTGGTTTATAATACATACATTAATTTGCATGATATTAATTATGCAAGCATCTTTTATTTTAGATTGACTACTTGGAATCACTGGGGGTGGAAAGTTGTGCCTTGCTCGTTATTGACAACGGGTTAAAGCGTCTTGGATCTGAGAATGGGAAACGGATTGTTAGTAAGTCAGAAATCCTCAACCAAATATATGCTGAGATGGCAAAAAATCCTGGTACGCAAGTAGACCTTTTTCATTGACGCTTTAAAAACACTTAATCTGAGGTGTTCAGATGAAAATCCATTAATTATTTTCTGTGATAACCACCAGTACTTTTAAGTTGTCCATAAGCATGTGTGCATTGCAGCAAAAATTCATATCGCCGTCACACCCACAAACGTCTGTGGCCACTCCTACATATTTTTGCAAGTTTGCAATTCTAATTTTAAACAGCCAACCCAGTTCCTGGTAACAATTGCTATAAAGAATATCAAATAATAAACAAAGAATAAGAATAGCAAACAAAGAATATTCTATTCTTTTTTTTATTCTTTGGAATTTCAGTTGACGGGCAGGTATGACAAAAAACACTTTAATGTACCGGTCGAGTTTAGAGACAGTTTTAAGACTCAAAAGATGAATTACCGTTCAGATTTTCTTGCCACAACCATTCTGATAGGAGAAAAATCATTTACAAGTTGTTTGATTGCCCGTCATTGGATGAAAAGTCATGTGATTGTGAACAAATAATTCTTGTGTTTCATATGACATCACAGCAGCACGTGTGGTCAACTTAAAACTAAACACAGTTATTGGAGTGAGTCAATGGACCATTTGCATTATAGAGTAAATTTTGATCTAAACAAGTCTAGACAAAAATTTCATCACAGCTTGAAAGAGCATCACAAAATTAGTAATATTCCAAAGTTTCGTTGCGAAATGTTGTAAAATGCGGATAATATAGCCTTGCGAAATTTGCAATTTTCAGTCATTTTGTATTACAAACAGGAAATTGATGCCCCAACACCCGATTGGGCTGTCAATTTCCCGTGCGTAATACAAAATGACTGAAAAACGGCAAAATTCGCAAGGCTATATTATCCGCATTTTACAATATTTCGCAACGAAACTTTGGAATACTACTAATTTTGTGATGCTCTTTCAAGCTGTGATGAAATTCGTGTCTAGATGAAAATTTAGTCTATAATGCAAATGGTCCATTGTTCGTTTTATGTATTTGCCTTTCAATTTTGCATCATTTATGCCATTCATTGTGGGAATTTGAATTTGAAAACAGAACTGAATTAAATTTTATGTAGCAAACTTATTTTAAAGTTTTTGGGTTTAATTTAATCATGTGATTGCTTGGTATTGGGTCAGTAGAACTATTTTTATTCAAACTGATAGTCTGACTTATTGGTTAATTTGAAAATATTTTTTGAAGTTTTGAATATACGATTTGAATATGTTTTTAAGGAGTGCGTAACAGCAATAAATTCATTTTTAAAGGTCTCGTTTTTGTACACCTTTTTTTAAACATTTCTTTGAATTTCAAGCGGAGAAGTGGTATATAATATAACATAGAATACAACACGCATTTACGCCATTTGACTATTGACGATGCCCTTGGACTTCTTGTATTCTTTTGGCGTAATATACCTAACTGGAACTTTGCTAATAATTAACAATTAGACTATGGTGATAGGTGATGAGGTGTTTTGCCCTCATCAACTATCACTTAATAGAAATCGAGAGTGAATGATCTAATTGTTTCAGTAAAAACTAGTGCGAAAACAGTATTTTAAAAAGTGGTATTTTTTTCAAATAAATTCATGAAAAGTCGCGCAAACTAATGCCCACAACGAAAATTCGAATTTGCTCAAAATTTTCTTTGTTCAAATCTGTTAAAATACAAATTTCATATTTGATTTTTCACCTTATAGCTGTTTCGTTTCTTGCTATCCATCGACGAATAGATAGCGACTAGCGTATCCAATCAGAACGCAGCATTTGCATTATAACGCGAGCACGTTTCTACTAATTATGGTTTGCGTGCAACTTATTTTATATTTTTTGTTTGTCCAAGGTGAAACTGATTTAAATCGTGATGGTCTAATTGGGAAAGTAAGGAATATATTCAATCAAGCGTACGGTGAGTTTCATGCTGGACATGTATGGTATGCTTATATAGTCAATGCCGGATTTAGGGGAGGGTACGGTGAAGTGCGCACCTCCTGAGAACATTTAACACTTCCAAGAACATTTAGCACCTCCCCTGAGAACATTTAACACCTCCTCTAAAATCTGTTGCACCTCTCCGGAGTTTTTTTGCACCTCCTATGGTAAAAAATCAAATTAAGGAACAGTTTAGTTAATAGAAAACATTTAAACCAAAACTTGTGTGTATAATGTATAGAAACTCTGAAAATGCCATTTCCAATGTAGAGACAGGGCTCGAAGTAGAGAAAAAATATGGCCTGTCAGTCTAAAATTTTTTGGCAGGTGAAATAAATTTTAGCCTGCCATTTTTATTCATTGAACTGCCAAAATGTTGATGTCTCATATGAGTCATATATGAGTCATATTGTAAAAATCAATGTTATCATGATATGCATTTTTATTATTTTTAAACTTGTCTATTTTACTACAGTAAACAATAAACAGCAAAAGATGTTTTTTTTTGAAAGTTGGCAACTATGTATCCACCTCCCTTGCTTTTTTCTCCCAAATCCGGCCTTGTATGGTTTTTTAATTTCTTAATTTATTTGAACTTTGTGGACGATATTGTGATTAAACAAATTATTAATATGAATTTTTTTTCTGTGTTGGTGTTGTGTACTCAGGTGAATAATATGTTTGCGATGTTACTCTGAGTGCATATCCACACCGGGCGAGCTTGAAACTTATGCCCGGCCACGGTGGGATTCGAACCTACGACCTTTGGAATACTAGCCCAATGCTCTTCCAACTGAGCTACGCGGTCAGGACGGTTAGAGTAAGTGATATTTCGGAACCGTATGCACTCAGAGTAACATCGCAAACATATTATTCACCTGAGTACACAACACCAACACAGAAAAAAAATTCATATTACAAGAACACATTGGTATTGAAGGAACTAGATACGGTTCCGAAATATCACTTACTCAAACCGTCCTGACCGCGTAGCTCAGTTGGAAGAGCATTGGGCTAGTATTCCAAAGGTCGTAGATTCGAATCCCACCGTGGCCGGGCATAAGTTTCAAGCTCGCCCGGTGTGGATATGCACTCAGAGTAACATCGCAAACATATTATTCACCTGAGTACACAACACCAACACAGAAAAAAATTCATATTACAAGAACACATTGGTATTGAAGGAACTAGATACGGTTCCGAAATATCACTTACTCAAACCGTCCTGACCGCGTAGCTCAGTTCGAAGAGCATTGGGCCAGTATTCCAAAGGTCGTAGGTTCGAATCCCACCGTGGTCGGGCATATTTTTCAAGCTCGCCCGGTGTGGATATGCACTCAGAGTAACATCGCAAACATATTATTCACCTGAGTACACAACACCAACACAGAAAAAAAATTCATATTACAAGAACACATTGGTATTGAAGGAACTAGATACGGTTCCGAAATATCACTTACTCGAACCGTCCTGACCGCGTAGCTCCAGAGGAGGTTGGACAGCTAATTAGGCGAATCTGGGCGAATCTCTCGACCAATCAAATTGCGCCATTTACCTCATGCTCGCATGAAGCTTTTGGCATCGAAAATTTACATAGGGCTCATAAATATCGATTTTTTTCATATTGTTATGCAAATTTTTTGGTAAATTTTACGCGATACTACTTTTACAACAGTCAATCTGCCGATTGGAACGGTATCTTGAAAGGTAAACGTCATTTTCCAGTTTATTTTGACCTCTCACTTAGGCGCTATGCCGTCGCGATGTAATTTAATGTCATTTCTGTCAACAATCTTTGAAGACAAAAATCTCAAATTTCCACGGTTCGATTTCGCTATTATTTCACAATTAGTTAAACAAATGTATAATCTTTAATTCTATCCAGCCGGCCCCCCTCGGTCCCGCAACCGTTTTCGAGATATTCACCGTTGAATATAGCCCTCTGTAAAATATGCTGCCTTGTCACTCAGATCGACAATGAATTGCTATTACTCGCTTTTTTCTAAAGAAATTTGATATACTATAGAAGTTTCGATATATTATGGATTATATATATTGTTTAAAGTATGTAAATAATTAAAGCACTTCTGTAACAATATTTTATAAGTGAAATTTATTGTTTGGTTGATGTTTTAGATGTGAGATTTGTGATTTTGGCTGGATTCTATTTTTGTCGATGATTTTGTCTGCAAGAATTTAGCACCATCATTAAATTTGGAGGTAAGTATACACAAACAAGTTTGTTTATCGCAGTAAGTTTTTCTTTTCTTTGGTAGAATAATGTCTGAAGCCACAAAAAGAGATCATGATCCGCCAACTGGTCTAACACCTGGGAAAAAACCACCAAAGAGATCTGCCAGTGGACGTTTCACAAAGAAAACAATATTGTTTGAACCAGATATCCAGTCAGAAGATTGTGGGAATGTATGTACTGCATTTAATATGGTATTATGTTCACTCTAAAAAAACACCAATGAAATAACAATTTTGTCATCAAACTCATCTCAAACTGTCACCATCATTATTAAACTGTATGTGCAATTAATTAGGTACAATGCTCAGGATATGTTTGTTTTCTTTGTACAGAATGAGTGGAGCTACAATGAGATGTCAGCCCTAGTTGAGTATATTGCCCTTTATCATGCACCTGTTGAAAGTTCCTCTAAAGAATGGCCAGCACACAAAAATGATGAGTTCTGGGGTGCATGTGCTGATGTTGTCAACAGTGTTGGTAATGGAAACAACAGGACTGGTGAATGAGACTGTTTAATATTTGTAGTGTTTTGGAATAATTGTTATAGTGTACAAAATTTAAATAAAGCACCATGTACCTGTAATTTAATGCTTAATGCTGTACATGTTTATTTAGGAACTGCATGTAGAGCCAAAGTAAGAAGATTCCTGGTGAATAAATTCCCGACAATACCAGATGCTGAGGAAGCTTATCAAATTACCTATATCGGTCCTTCCAATCTGTCCAAACCTTATACATCTGCAAGATCTCCGATGCTACAATTGTCTCCATCAAGTGACCAAAACCTTGTTCACCTCCCTGGTGATGTTATTGATATGATGATGTCTGGATTTTCAAAACTAACCCATCGACAACAAGAACAACTACTCATCCACCTGTTTCAAAAATGGATGGTAAAAGTTAACCCTGGTTTAGATGCTAAATTTGTCCCTAAAAATTTCCTCCCACTTGTTGCCAAGGCTATGTCTGTACTTCATGCTGGTAAAAAAGATAATCTGATTTATCACGCTGCTCGATGCTTTGGAGAACAACGCCATGGAGATGTTGGTCCTAGAATGCCATTGGATAGAATGCCCTTTGGTCTCATTGCACATAATATGAAGTTTTTTGCATCCAACCAAGTCTCCAACCTTGAAGCTCCAGATGACTACAAGTCTTGGTGTCAGTCCATGTATGCTTTGTTTGGAAACAAGTGGGCCTCAATGCACTTGGGGCCAATGTGGTCCTATGAGTTAGAAAGGGAGCATGTATCAGTTACTAATGATTCTTCATTAAGTTTAGATATCATAAGCCAAGCATTGCAAGAAACGTTTGGAGATGACTCGGATGTAGTAAGTATGGAAAACCCATTGCCTGTCCTGAAGAATGTGCAAGATACTAGCATTGCTGACGATGTGGTAAGGTCTGGAAGGACCATAAAAGGAGACCCATTAAAGGTACATAATATTAATGAGCATCAATGTGGCGATATTAATGTTGTATATGGGTATACAGTATGCTGTATCTAAAACATCCATGAGTGAGTACATTACAAGATATTCAAAAATAGTAAAATACAGTTAGTAATATTAACTAAATTCTCTCTCTCTCTCTACTATTGAAGTAGCGGTAACTTTTCTCTCTCTCTCATAGGCCAAGATAAATATTGCTGGGCCATCTTCACGTACAATTCGAAGAATGACTGAGGGCAATGATTATAGCAAGGGCACTGAAATTCAGGTATATTACGTATGTTTGCTGATCAACAACTTATATTAATTTTGTTATTACTGTACATGCTATATGATGGATGTATTTTAACAGACATCTGCTTTGAAATTTCTTCACAATGCCTACCCAAATGGAAGGTGGTGGTTGAAAGCTGATGGTACTGACATTCAAGAGGGACTCAGAGAATCCATGAGAAATGAATGGTCAGGTGATGTAGATTTAGGAGATGGTAAGTTAGGAATTAAGTATTCCAAATACTTAGAATACCTTAAGCTTGTCCACAATATAGGGTTGAAGGAAAGGGCTTCCTCTGACAACATCAAAGAAGACCTTCAACAGATTTGTTCTAAGCTATCCACAGAGAGTGAATTCCTGACAAATGGTCATGCAGATGCCAAAAAGGATTACAAGAGCGTCCAGGATATGGCCAACTCTACAGAGAAAGCATTGTTTGCATGTGCGTGGAATGTGGAAGAGTTCAGTGAGTTGCTGGAGAAGAATGCGTACTTGTTGCAGTCTTTGAAAAACCTCATAAGCATCCTCGAAAGTGGAAACACCCATTCTATAAACATCGGAACAACTCTGGTTAATCTACGTAAAGAATTACTGGATTATGTTAAAGGTACTAGTAATTTTCAGGAATGTTATTGTAAATAACTTGTTATCCTTACTCATATGACATGTCGTAACAAATGTTGTGGACAGTTATCGGAAAGTCCTTAAACACACTAGATCAATTTAATGTTCTCTTATAAATACATGTATGTATTAATGTTTCAGGAATTACCTCAAAGACACGAGTAGCAGCATCTCACATACTGATATTCATGGTAAGTGATGAATTGAGAAATTTCAAACCATATGCTATTCCTGTTCGTGTTCTTAAGTACAGCAGTCTGACAGACAAGAATGCACGAGACCTGAAGGAAGAATTGAAAACTGCAATGGAAGACATTGGCATGGTAACTGTGGGTATGTACGAATTATGTGTACCGGTATTTTTAATGTTGTATAGTTACCGTATTCTCTCTATTAAGCCCCCTCTATAATAAGCCCCCTCTCTAATAAGCCACACCCTTTTAAGAGGAATAAATTTATTAAACCCCTTTCTCTATTAAACTTCCACCCCCATTCATATGAATATACCACATTGTACATAACATACGTTATAATACATACTATTAACACGTTATAGTATGATACAATTGTTAAAGATGGATTTCATAATAGATGCTTGTGAAAATTATCTAAGATTTTATGGATAACTAAATAAGCCCCCCTCTCTAATAAGCCCTCCTCAATTTATATTAAATATTTTATCCAAAATGTATAGTCATGCTTATTATGTATTTCATTCAAAGGTTTTGTTACTGATGGTGAGTTCAATTCATTGCGAACACAAGGTAAAGATAGACCTGTCTCATTCAGCTGATTATGGATGCCAAGAATGAAGCACGGGCGATACCTGCCAAGGAGATTGAGAAATTCTTCAAGTCTGTCAAGAAGGGTAATTATGCTGTAGTATTGTTGTATCATACCATTAACATAATACCCTGTGGGATACAGTATATACAAGAAACTGCCATTTGCTGTTAGTAATAGCTATTGGAGCACGTACTAAGATGTTAGAAGCGAATCATACATGATTAAACATAGTGAGTTGTGGACGTTCTCTGGCTAAAATATGAATTGAAATACAAGCTTTCGACTGCCAGTCTGCAGTTACAATGAACAAAATTATATATAGAGTGGTATAGAATACAGATTTTTGATCAAGAAATTATCATATTTATATCATATGTTAAACTCATTTAGCTCATTAGTATATGTACAATATATACATTATTACTAATTGGAAACCACTATATACAAATTTTTTATTGTAAATTTCCGTCCGTTTACTGCAGACTGGCAGTCAAACGCTTGTGTTCTGTATTCAAATAAATATTTTAACTCATGATGCAGAACAACATCTACTGTACAGCAACAACTCACAAAGTTCTTTGTGTTCTGTGATTAACAGAAGGTGTAGTTTTGCCTGTGAAAGGTCACAATGCTATTCCGTTGGGAGATGTTCAGTGGTTAGCAGAGTATATGAATGGTGAACCCAAAGTATCATTTCTCAATGCAATCAGGATACTTCGCAGAAAACACTTTCCGTTTTCTTATGACCCACACCCTTGGGTTGCAGGTAAGGTATCTACTGTACAGTATGTAACATATGCCACAAACTAGATTTACTGTTACTTCTGAATCTCTCAACTTTACTCATTTACAATTTTAGCTACAATATCATGATTAATCTCAAATAATTTACTTGTAATAAAATGTACAGTAATTTTTTTTTCTGTTATGTAAAGGTAAAACTGAGTCGAAATCTGACTGTTTGAAATCCCTTATGGCGATGTACCTCTTCAAGAATAAAGTAAGTATGTTCTGTGCACAAGGTGTTAACTTTCAGGATTATTTGTATGTGCCAGAGGTAAGTGAACGCACAGGTGAACCTCAACAAGAGCGTGAAGACCACAACCATGTGCTAAAGAGAATAGCTGGCAGTTTGAGAAAGGGGCATATCCCGAATGTGGATCTTCAAGCATTTGTCAAAGCTATGAATAATGCAGAAACAGGTTTGACCTACACTGCATTGACAGGTAAGAGAAAGCAGAGTGTGGGTGACGCCGAGAAATTGTTGTCACCTGCAGTTGCTAAATGGTTGAAAGCTAATGGTTTCTTAAATGAAGGTAGATTTGTAGAGATTGTATCAAACTGGCACAAGGCAAGTGATGGTCGTGGACTGACGGAAGCTGACCGTAAGAAGTACAACCTGGCGATGTTGGATTATATATTGGAAGACTGGATGCCATGGTACAAGGAAGAAAGAGATTATTCAACATTAGATGTCAATAGGTACATGTGATGCGCCCTTCTTTGTTCTTTTACTCTGTCTAATGCCAGACAATTTTAATCATCAAGGGGAGATTCTTGTGCTTTAATGAGTTAATAGAGTTTTATAAAAATGCAATAATTTCAGTGCATATTGGACATACTGTAATGTACTGCACTGAATTTAATGTGCACTTCTGTTAATATATAGACCTATCAGAGGAATTAGAGGATTCACTAGAGAAGTTGTGGTTGCACTAACAACAAATATTGAAAGTCAGGTTTGTTTATAAATGTGCCTTACAAATGTGTGGAGAAATGTGCAGTCATTTCATAATTAGGGACCGGTCAATGTGCAGTCATTTCATAATTAGGGACGTCAGGGTGGGCTGGAGGAAAAAGACCAGAAACGGTGCAAGTTTTCCATGCCCCCCCCTCCCCATAAGGTGTTAATTTTTTGATGACCCCCCCCCCTTCCAACCGACAATTGTTTTCACAACCCCCCCCCATTTATTTTCACCAAGTCGTATAAATTTTCCCCCAAAATGTTGTCGACGGGGGGGGGGAGGGGGGGGGAGGTAAAAAAATTTTCCAGACAAACATAAGCGGTCTAAAAAATTTTCCAGACTAACATAAGCATATTCAAAATTTCTCCACCAACATAAGCAACGCTTCCAATTTCTTCAGCACAAACATAACAAAAGTTTTAAAACTGTTAAAATTGCAAAACATTTCATCAAATGGTTTTGGTTGTGATTAAGGCTTGATATTTGAAACTGGTCAACCTAAAATATTAAGAATTACCACAAATAATTTTCACCTCCCCCCCCTTTCATACTGAAAACACCTTAAAGGCCCCCCTAATTTTCCTCCAGCCCCCCTGGTCCTCAATTAATGGACAGTCCCTTATAGTATATTATTGTTACAGGAGTTCAGACGGAGATATGGACTCGAAAAGGGGCTTCTTCCTGAACATCCAAGAGCAGGATCAACTGATGATGTTGAAGGCATTTTTGCTTTCTTGCATGGACTGCTTGGACCAATTTTCGATGAAAAGGATTTTCATGATGCCTTCCCGAAAGTTATTAGCGAGTACACCAAGAAATGTGATCCTGACTTGCCCTTTTACTACTACACTGGATCCAATGACAGATATAATGACGGTTTAATACAGTCATTTAATGTACCCTCGAGCAGTGGTGAAGAACGACTGGATAGTGTATCTATTTCTAGACGAGCTGATCCTGGGGTTTTTGTGACAAATCGAGCTGTGATTCCTCAGCGTGGACAACTCAGTGTTAGAACAGCCCATTTTAAACCAGCAGAGAGCTTGCCACCGCCACCTGCTCCATAGAATACTGGTAATGATTTGTCAAGTGACATTAATTACTGTAGTACTGTATGTACTGTAGTTTGCAGTTTAAAATGCACATACATCACAGTTATTGTATGTGTACACAACCATGTATTATTCTCTATATAATAGCATGGGTTTGAGTGCAGTTGAGGGGAAAATATGCACAGTGAGTTTCTCAAAATCCAAATGACGACGAAAGTCTCACAAGTGTATGTTTTTCCAAATTGTATGAGAAACCATATTACTTATTAATATACATGAAATAATTATGCAGTCACATACGTGCATGGGTCACATGCAAAATAGTTAATTTTAATAACAAATAATTTTAACAGAAAATCTGCTAAAAATGCCATCAACTGTATTTTTGTGGCATGGAAATGTTTAAGTTTTTTGGTATTATTTCCCTGCTAGAAATGGCTGTATATTATAGTCGATAAAATTTGCACTGTATTTCAAAAACAATACACTGCTCTTAGCCAATCAGAATTGAGAATTTTTTCATGTATATTATTAAGTAATTTACAGTGTTTTGCAGTATGCGAGATGTTCATATTCAGAGCAAATATAGTACAGTAAAGACCTGTATAAAAGAACCATTATACTGATCAATTAACCACAATAAATTTATGTAAGAATACTGTTTGTGCCATGTACAAATACCATGTCAGGTTGACAAACAAAACTGTAATTTTAAACATTTTAATTAACTTTTATTAGTTTTAAGGGCATATATGAAGACCATCTATGGACTCTTATTTTTATTAGAAAAGGACTATTTAATGGGAAACACACTTGGCTTGTTCTAGCTATCATTTTTTATTTTATACTGTCAGACAATAATTTGGCTAGCATATTGGTTCTTATAATTATGGAGGTTTTTATTGTATTATCATGTATCATATAACTAACCAAGTATCATACTGTAGGCATGTTATTTTGGGACCTCTGGTCAATTGAATAAATATTATATAAATCTTCTTGTTTTATCATTGCATTTAATTTTAATCTGAAAAAAATACTCACAAAGTAGGTCAGGTGCAGCATGGATAATTTATTAATTTATTTACTAAAGCACATTTTTACAGTTGCATACTTATTTGCATGAGTGTACATGACAGATTACTTTAATTTGATATACCCAGTTATAATTAACCTATGTTTTGTTTAATTAAAAAATGCTGGAAAAAAAATCTAAAAAGTTAGCCAATTGAACTAAATGCACATCAATAACCTGCTGACCATAGTTGCTATTATTTATATCAAAAACATCTGTCAACGTACACTCATGCTTTTCCTTACCACTAGATTCTCCCACTCACCACGCCTCTTTATGACAATTTTTGGATAAAATCCTATTTTAAGAAAGTCAACCCTATACTTGATATGCTGAACATAGACATCCAAGATATCTCCTGTGGCGATTAGTGGGTGCAAATATTTGCATAGTTCTGAAGCAATATAACCAACATGTGCCCATCCAGTTCCATAGTCTAGATCAATTGCTATTGCACTTGGGTCCCTTGGATTCAATGGCTCTGGCCGTATTCTTACAGTTACTGGTTTATTTTGTTCATGAAGAGCAAGGTATGCCTTTTCCAAATGATGTTGGTAGTTTTTCTCATGAGCAGCACCAATGCACTTGAATGGTACAGCGTGGGTGATTTCTTCCTCCTCATCACTTTCATCATCCCTTTCACTTAATTCATCATCACTTTCTGCTCTACCACTTTCACTTAATCCGTCATCACTTTCTGCCCTATCACTTTCTACAAAATCATAACAAATAACAAGAAAATAATTATTGCATAACTGTCATCTCTAAAAATAGCAATTTTTGCGCATGTAACCTCTAAAATTATATTCTCAAGACCTAAAAGAGTGCGTATTTATAGAACAACACAAATATAGCAATATTTAGATGAAAATTGAAAAATATCAAACTACAGCTTGCTGATTTAAACAACCAGCTAGAACCAGATAAAACAGGCATACTTCAGCAAAAAATTATAAATCAAACCATACAAATATCAACAATACCTTCAGTCTGTTCAGACTCATCATCTGAATGTTCATCATCTGAATTATTCCTACTTTGTCCATCATTAAGACTGTCTTCGTTTCTTTCTGTTGGTTCTTGAGAATGTTCTCTTTCAGGAGTCTCGTCTAAAGGAGGTAGTAAAACCTTGTTAGTATCTGGAAAGTTAGAACAATTGCAACTTACCACATCCACGGCCAGCAATGGGGTCTCCAGAATATTGTCGAAATCAGGCACAACCGCAGCCACTGCAATTGTATTCGCTGTCAATACATGATCCACATCAAAATCCCAAATCAAAAGCATATGCTGGGTGTTTTCATTAGCAAACTCATCTGGGATAGGGTCAAACTATAAAAGGGTTAAATTAAAATAATACGCCATAATTTGTACAGTGTATTTCGAGGTTATTTATAAAATTCAGTACAAATATATTGAAAACTGCAAAGCGTGAAAGCGGAAATTTGACCAAATAACAAGTCTAGTCAACTGTAATGCATTGTAGTATACCAACCTTAAATATTGCGCTCGTTTTCACGTTGATAATACAAGGAGATTTAACACCATCCAACTTGGAAAGAAGAGCCTCGCTATTGGGAATAACACAACTCCTTCGCTCGGACGGATTATCCATAAAGCTAAAATGACAGCACGTCCCATGCAATTTTAAAAAAGGTAAACTTGGTACAGTAAAACATAAGTCATAATGAGGATCGCAACAATACAGCAATAACATGCTATTTTCACGAAGTATCGCAGCCTGACACTCTTGTCGTTCGAAAGCTTCCATATTGGTTTAGAGAGATGTTCACTCCTCGACAGTCAAAAGTCAATGAAGCGACCGCGTGGAATTAGGCGCTCGATACCCACGATGCTTTGCGGCCTGCTGTCCAACCTCCTCTGGCGTAGCTCTATAACAAACGTACTTGCAGGGAGGTGAGTCTGGGATTGGACGCACCGAGGGTGGCTGGAAGTTTCCCGAACTTACCGAGCGAAGCGAGGTGAGTTCGGGAAACTTCCAGCCACCCGAGGTGCGTCCAATCCCGGACTCACCGAACCTGCAAGTACGTTTGGTTTTTATCCCATACACCGAGCCATACACACATTTGTAGCTCTTCGCGATATATTCGTCGATATTTTGTGAACATTTTCCCGGCCAAAAAAATCACTGGGCAAGAAAATACTTCTTTATCTACGTCTACATTACCTTTACTGCATTTTTTCTTTGGTTTTTCTTCAGTCTCAGTATGTTAGTCACTGAAAAGTTCTTTAAAGTTTAGGTTTATCGGCTAAATCTTGTCCGCCATATTTGTTATTGTTATTGCAACGTAAGCAGTTTAGCGGGTGAGTTCGGGCGAAAAGCAGGTGAGTTCGAAAAAAGCGGGTGATAGATAGTACATATTTATTTTTAACGTTGTAGGGTCAGCAGTTGGCAAACAAGAACAAAAAATGCCTTATAAGCGGATGATTAAAGGCACATCTCCGTATTGCTTACAAGGTCTGCCTGTTGGTCTACAGCTGAGAAATCCGAAAGACTATGGGACAAACCAGCTACGATCAATAATTTCATGCGCAAAGGCTATTAAAGTAGTAAGCGAGATCTTGTGGTGCCTTCTTACCTCAAGATTTTGGGGAACTAAAGAAGGAAATATATTTGTACAGTTAGTAGTTTAGAAGTAGAAAAAAACAAAAGCCACTACGTTAGACGTTGCGTTACTGATGTATGTTCTTTCAATTTTTTGACAGATAAAAAAGCCATTGGACCAGAACCCAAATGAACAACGAAAACAACAGTCACAACGACAAAAACAGCAACAACTGCAACCAGAACAACTGCAACAACAACAGCAACAACAACAACAACAACAACAACAACAACAACAACAACAACAACAACATCAACAACAAAATCAACAACAAAATCAACAACAACTGCAGCAACAACGACAAACAAGTCGACAACAAAAAGGCGTTGTGAACCTACAGATCCCCAATGACGACTACAATCCAATTGATGGTAAGTACTTATTATACATGCATTATTATATATGTGCAATCATTTTTTTACATTAACTAGCCAGACAGCGGCCAAAAAAGGCTTTAACATGAAAACGAGGCTTTTAATAAAAACATACTATTCAATAAAAAACTTAATTCATACTTGGTAAGAAATTTGCAAGATTTTTATAAGATATATATACAGTATAGTTTGCGCCCATCATTTCCTTTGTGATTGCTAACATGATGCCATTATAATAATTCCATTTTATTCTATAATTTTGTAGGTGAGAGTGTAATTGTTATTGGGGTTTGTGCTAAAAAACCTCTGTTATTTGGTTCTGGTGTTGTTTTACCAGGACGGAAACTTCACTTTAAAGATATTCGAGAAAACTCGTGTAAAAGATCGATTTCAACGATTAGTAGTACCTGCCCAGGCGATGCCAAGCCATTTTACCAAGACAAAAATGGGGAGAACAGACTAGTAGTTGGACAGATTTACGAGTGGCCTAGAACATATCTTTTCCCTTCAAAAAACTTTAATTAAATTATTGAATACCTTACTTGAATTTACATTATTAATACCGTTGTAGTCAATTTACGCTATTCTAATTGGTAAAAATGGTCTAAAAAGTGTGCAAATTAAACATTAATTTGATTGCACAATTAATGTTCAATTTGCAATCGCGTAATTAAAGCACGATATGTAATGTATGTACCCATGACCACGTCCTACGACTTTGAATTGAGTTTTGGACCTAGGCCTTACATTATTTTTTATATGCTTGAGCGACTTTTTGAAGTATAATTCCCAGTAATATATTCATATATTTATTTATTATTTGTCATATAATTGTGATAAATTTATGTTGTAATACGCATGTATGTATGTATATATATATACAAATAAAAATTTCTCCACCGTTGGGAATTGAAAGTACATTAATTATGCAAAGTTAATCAATCCAAAAGCAACGTAAGCCTTCTGCAAGGTACTTGTTTCGTAAAACGTTTTGATTACGAATGTTCACTGTTCAGTGGTTAATGGAACCATGTTTAATACAATAATGGACGTTCTTATGGTCTCACTGAGACAAAGATGGACGAGTTTAGCTTATTTTAGATAATTTAACATTCAATTTTAATTCCCTCTTGGGAATTGTTTATTGTTCGTTTTCCTTGCAACTCCCAACGGTGGAAGAATGTGATTTCGACCGGCAATTTTTATTTGGCGAGAATGTTACATAAATATTAAAAAATTGGGGTACATTTTGGAAAGATGTGGTAAGGGTATTGTATATACATCATGTGTTGCTGAAATACACCCCATCTTTATCCAAATATATTGATGTCCGTATTTTACATAAATACTAAAAAATACACCCGATTTTTGGACCAGGAACTGGTCCCCAATCGCTGCTAATCTTGTTGTTGTTGTTGTTGTTGTTGTTGTTGTTGTTGTTAGGGGGCGACGCTCTTTGAAAAAACCCTAAGGCTCCGTCATTACTTGTCTGATCGGAATGAAATTTGACACAATTATTCTAAGCAATATTCTGCATCGATTGACGGTGTTCGATTTTTCATTTTTGACTTTAGAAGCAAGATACAAGCAATTTTTAACTGTATTCGTAGCAAATAATATATACATATCATTAATATTCAGCAAATATATCAGCAAATGCAAACGATAAGACATTGTCTTGTCTATTGTTGTGAACACAATCACAATAGTCTAAAGCTTCTCAAGAATGTGAACGACTATAATTATAACAATTAATTATAAGCGTTAAGTTGACTAAATTTAACACGCTGGCTTAGTTTCTCAAAGCGTAGTGGAGTAATATTGCTATCTGGCTGTCATATAATATTCATAGTCCGATAGTGAACCATAAAAACAAAGACATGAAAATTTGTTTTTAGCACAAGCATGCAGTTATGAAGCCATGACTAAGCGAGATGAAATTGCATTAACCTGGCAACAATTCAGATAATTTGTTACCTTAACTTATTTTGTAATTAATGGCAGGCACAGCAAGGCAAAATTTGATGTACGGCAAAAGTTAGCTGACTTAGGCACGGCATGTTTATTCTAAATATTGTGGGACATTTAACTTATCTGTCGAATTCAAATGCGAGGAAATATTTTGAAAACTGCGCATTTAGTTATCTATGCTTTGTCCAGATTTACACCTCATTTAGGCTATATACACACGGCACTAGACACATTTTGCCCGAATAAAGTGTATCTTGCATGACCAAATTAAAGCAAAACATTTAGCGAACTCAGTCTACGTTGCAAACTTCGAGAACATTAGTTTCACAAGTGTCTAGTTATTTGTTTATCAAGTCAAAATCTCGAAGGTTTTGAACGTTTAACGATTTGCACAAGATCGAAACTGGGTCACGCAGTTCCTGGTCCACTATAGTACATCGTACTTGTTATCCAAATGTCCGTATTTTACAGTACATAACTATTTGAAATTTGGAGTACAATTTGGAAAGATGTGGTAAGGGTATTGTATATATATCATGTGTTGCTGAAATACACCCCATTTTTATCCAAATTTCCGTATTTTACATAAATATTAAAAAAATTGGGGTACATTTTGAAAAGATGTGGTAAGGGTATTGTATATATATAATGTGTTGCTGAAATACACCCCATTTTTATCCAAATGTCCGTATTTTACATAAATATTAAAAAAATTGGGGTACATTTTGAAAAGATGTGGTAAGAGTATTGTATATATATCATGTGTTGCTGAAATACACCCCATTTTTATCCAAATGTCCGTATTTTACATAAATATTTGAAAATTTGGGGTACATTTTGGAAAGTTGTGGTAAGGGTATTGTATATATATCATGTGTTGCTGAAATACACCCCATTTTTATTCAAATGTCCGTATTTTACATAAATATTTGAAAATTTGGGGTACATTTTGAAAAGATGTGGTAGGTAAGAGTATTGTATGTATATCATGTGTTGCTGAAATACACCCCATTTTTATCCAAATGTCCGTATTTTTTACATAAATATTGAAAAAATTGGGGTACATTTTGAAAAGATGTGGTAAGGGTATTGTATATATATCATGTGTTGCTGAAATACACCCCATTTTTATCCAAATGTCCGTATTTTTTACATAAATATTGAAAAAATTGGGGTACATTTTGAAAAGATGTGGTAAGGGTATTGTATATATATCATGTGTTGCTGAAATACACCCCATTTTTATCCAAATGTCCGTATTTTACATAAATATTAAAAAAATTGGGGTACATTTTGAAAAGATGTGTTAAGGGTATTGTATATATATCATGTGTTGCTGAAATACACCCCATTTTTATCCAAATGTCCGTATTTTACATAAATATTTGAAAATTTGGGGTACATTTTGGAAAGTTGTGGTAAGGGTATTGTATATATATCATGTGTTGCTGAAATACACCCCATTTTTATCCAAATGTCCGTATTTTACATAAATATTAAAAAAATTGGGGTACATTTTGGAAAGATGTGGTAAGAGTATTGTATGTATATCATGTGTTGCTGAAATACACCCCATTTTTATCCAAATTTCCGTATTTTACATAAATATCAGAAAATTTGGGGTACATTTTGGAAAGATGTGGTAAGAGTATTGTATATATATCATGTGTTGCTGAAATACACCCCATTTTTATCCAAATGTCCGTATTTTACATAAATATTAAAAAAATTGGGGTACATTTTGAAAAGATGTGGTAAGGGTATTGTATATATATCATGTGTTGCTGAAATACACCCTATTTTTATTCAAATGTCCGTATTTTACATAAATATTTGAAAATTTGGGGTACATTTTGGAAAGATGTGGTAAGAGTATTGTATATACATCATGTGTTGCTGAAATACACCTCATTTTTATGCAAATGTCCGTGTTTTACATAAATATTAGAAAATTTGGGGTACAATTTGGAAAGATGTGATAAGGGTATTGTATGTATATCATGTGTTGCTGAAATACACCCCAATTTTATCCAAATGTCCGTATTTTACATAAATATTTAAAAATTGGGGTACATTTTGAAAAGATGTGGTAAGGGTATTGTATATACATCATGTGTTGCTGAAATACACCCCATTTTTATCCAAATTTCCGTGTTTTACATAAATATCAGAAAATTTGAGGTACATTTTGGAAAGATGTGGTAAGGGTATTGTATGTATATAATGTGTTGCTGAAATACACCCCATTTTCATCCAAATGTCCGAATTTACATAAATATTTGATGTTTTGCTCAAATACATGCAGACAATAGAAAAAATAATTTGATCAACATTTGTTTTAATTATACCCAATTCACATCTTTTGATAACTCATATGGCTGGTTAGTATTGGCTATAGCTTAGGGAAGCATAGAGTAAAACAAAATCAAAGTAACTACACTTTTTCCTGGTCATTTTCAGTGGCTTCGAAGCAAATTTCAGAAACTGCAGTTCGAGTTCAGAAATGTCCAAGTGAGGTTCAGATCATGCAGGTCTATTTCAGTCTTAGTCACGTTCATTTCAAAATTGTTGAAATGAATTTCAGGTTAGGGAAATGAAGGTGCAGAAAAGCAAATGAATTTGAGAAATGTACATAAAAAATTCAGACACAATTATTACACACAGAAAATGTTTGCTTCACTACAACAAAATAGAATAATATTCTAAAGGAGAAGCATTACACAACAACACAGAATTCTATGCTCCCACATTCATGTCTTCCAGGTTAAGCGCACGCTGGAAAATACCTGGGCTTGAGAAACAACAACAAGCGAGGTTACAAATAGACGATTTTACAGTCCAACATTGTACGATCGTCTGCTTGTCACACATCACTACAGCTCCTTTTAAACCTAACGTTGTTGTATTTGCATGTGATTTTTTATATATTGTCTTCCTTGTCTACACACAGGAATTTTTCCCTGTAATTATACAGGAATTATCTGATTGAGTTTGTCTGAATTTCTATGGGTATTCCCTGAAGTCTACTTTTTATTGTTTGAATTTCAATTCCAAATATCTGATGTTGTTATGGAGGATCTGAATATCGTTTGAACTCATCTGAAATTTGCCGGACATATTTGCGATCATTTGGAAACAAACAAATTTCATTTGGGCAATCTCAATATCAATTACAAAGGTTTGAAATTCGTTTGTCCAAACTGAATATTTGAAAAATATTTGAATTTCATCTCAAAATGTATGAAAACGACCAGGAAAAGGTGTAGTAATAAATTTATGTGGTGTTTCCACAAAGAATATTATTTTAGGGCCTGTTCATATGGGCAAAAGTTATCTCGGTTAACGAGAGAACTTTTCAACTAGCCAAAAACTTTTGTTCTGTTCATATGGAGAAATATTAGCCCACTTACCGGGAAAAGTTTCCGGCTGTGACGTAGCACTGAACATCAATTGAATTGAAAAGTTGCTGACACGACAAAAGGTTATCCCGCTAAGCGGGAAAGTTGTGTTCACATGGGGAAAACATTATCCCGGTCACCGAGATCTCGCCTGTCAAGAAGCGAGATCTTGGTACACAGGAAAACGTTTCGTCTCATATGAACGCAATGTAACTTTTCGTATTATTTTCGTAACAAGGCGAGATCTCGCTCGTAAACTTGTCGAAAAGTTTTCTCGCTAACCGGGATAACTTCTGCCCATATGAACAGGCCCTTAAACATATATTTTTCTATACAGTGCTTGTGCTTATAGCTACGGACCTAAGTTGCATTTTTCGCAATGTTCCCGGTCAGGTCTAAAAATTGTATACAGCTAATTCAATTAAGATTGTCCTTCCAAAAGCTTAACCTTAAACTCTGAGCGCGCAAGGAATGATGGGTTATTGCTTATTTAAACTCATAAACTTTGAAATTTGGCTTTGCACAAGGGGGTTGACAAAACGTGGACCCCCCCTTCTGGATCCCCCTTCTGGACCCCATTCTGGACCCCCTTCTGGACCCGTTTCTGGATCCCATTTTGGATACCTTTCTGGACTCCATTCTGGATACCTTTCTGGACCTTTTAAGAACCAAAAGAAAACATGCAAATTAAGAAAACATTACATATGCAGCTGTAAGCAGTCCCTCCCCAACCCGCATTTGTTGAAGACATGGCTTATTCGCAATAAATTGGAAGCCAATATTTGTTGAAATTTTTTGCTGTAAATGTAGCGGGGTAAATTGCCGATTTATAGCAACCCGACACTACATTGACAATGTCATTACACAGTATTCTTACTGAAAGTATACTTGTCCCTATTCAAAAGAACATGAAACAAGAAAACCAGTGCAGTAAGGTATTTCTAATTGGAATAACTATGTTGCCCAGCAATGTTTAATGTACGAGACTATATAATATGTATCATTCAAAACATCACCATGCATCCCCCCAGGCATTCGACCGCATTTGACTTCAAGGTTTCTCCTGTGAGTAGAGAATTGGACATTTTGAAGCAAGATGAAGTGCCTTCCATGTTGTCTGGACCAATTTCTGAAGCCTCCCCCCCCCCTCGCTAACGTGCCTTCCTATGATGATGCGATTGCCGCTGATTGAAATGATTAGGACATTGAACAGGATTGAGGAATCAGAAAGTCGAAAAAAAGCCGAGAAAAAGGCAAAACGAATTTAATCGATCGTGATATTGAAATCCGAATAGTTTTGTCCTACCATCTGGCCTGTTGGTTTTTAAAAGGTCAAGAATGGGGTCCAGATTGGGGTCCAGACTGGGATCCAGAATGGGATCCAGAACGGGATCCAGATTAGGGGTCCAGAAAGGGGGGTCCACGTTTTGTCAACCCCTTTCTGAGTTTAAGGGATTAATATGTGAAACCCATCATCCCTTGCGCGCTCAGAGTTTAAGGTTTTGGAAGTAAAACCTTAATTGAATCAGCTGTATATTAACATCATCCTCGACGATTACCAGGATGACCCGCACAGAGATATAACTGACATAGTAAAAGGGCTCCTCACCTTACGAGCTAATGTCTTAATTTTGGTATCTCACTATCTACACCACTAGACGTACATGTATAGCTGGTACAGTATATGCGGGTTCGTTCTTAAAATGCTGTAGCCATATCATCATCACTATCGTTGTCAATAATATCGCTATCACTGTCATAACTTCCTAAATCGTCTGTTATTGCGTACGACGTTAGTACTTCATCACCAACAAGTTCCTGTACATTGCTGAACTGTTGAAAATTTGACATAAGAATGCCAAGGCGGATCTTCTGTCGCTCTTGCTCCTGTCTCACAACAGCAATGTCACCCATGGAAAACAGATCTGTTTCAACGTTCTGCAAAATTTTTATGTCATTAACATAAAATTCCACGACATTTTTCATCTCAGTCTCGAGGAGCCCAATTTCCTCAGAACATCTTTCTCCTAGATGGTGACAGTCCAGAATTTGCTGCCGGAATGGTTGTGAAGCTACAGCACCATCATCGTCTGTTCGAGACATACGACGTTGTTCAAATAGAAGTGAAGCGACAACGTCATTGAAAGTGTAACTACCATATTGTGTAGTATCATCAAGTTCATTTAAGGTCTTGCAAACATTTTCCCGTTCTTTTAGGCAACGCCTGATAGTCTTTGTGTTCTTTTTTATCCCCCTTTCTATTCTTTTTGCTATTGCTTGACCATCTAAAAATAAAAAAATATGTTATTATAGACGTACTGTGTGTACTGTAGGGGATTTCCACTCCACTCTGAGAAACTTTAAAGTGTGAAACCTCGTGGACCACCTGGAAATTCTACAAAAACAATAACAAAACTGCGAAGAACGACGGAATACTGTGACAATTCTTGATTACAAATTTAGGCCTGGTACAGTTAATGCAAAATAAGTTATAGAACCTTACAAAAACTTACTACCTGCATATTTTTTCTTTAACTCTGTCATAAACTTGTACTCTCTGGCAGACAAAGTGAGATCACTGTCGAGACTTTCCAAGCGAATACGGTGATATAACAACTTGAAGTGGAGGTACTCTGGATTGGACCGTTTCCATCGAACTATCTGGTATTTCCTTTCAGTTTCAACAAGTACTTTATCCAATCTAAATGAAAGTATAGTATTATTATATTATTAACTAAGCAGCAGGCTTCCATGTCATTTGTTATCAAACTTATTTGCATACTTTGCCAAAATAAATTTCAATATCACTAACTTAGACGTTTCTTCCACGATGTTATTATCATCTCCCGAGCCTTGTAAAGCACTTTCATCCCTAAAAATAATATCATCCAGATTTAAAGAATTGAAACAATGGTGTCGGGTAAGTTTATTATCATCACATTGTTAGTGCAATCAACAAACCTTAAACAATAATATCGTTGAAGCTTCCCAAAATATTGTTCCTTCCACAGCTCCAGTCGCTCTACCAGTTCAGCTATGGTAAACAATTGCACATTTACTATACTGATTATGAATGCACGAATGGCGACCGAAGTTTCTACTCCAGGTTTTCGGATTACACATACAGTACTGTACAGGGTGTGTGTCCGGGTATTACTTTTATACCAACTGTACATATACCCTGTACCTTCGTCTCCAGTGTGTTTATGCGAGAAATACTCCTTTTCCTCAGCTAGCCACATGTCGATTTGGGAAATGTCAAAATCTAAACAACATATAATAAAATATAATATAAAATAAATTTAAAACGGAAACATTTCCAACTATACAATGCTATATATGTGAAAGTTTCTGCATTTTCCACTTAAAGTGAACTATTTTATCAATGAAAGTTTGAAAGTTCTGGATTTTTGACTGCGTGAACAATTTACTAAATAAATCTTATTAATTCTTCACTCTTGACTAAATAAATAAAATATTACCCGGAATAGTATCCACCAGTTCGTTAAACGTCTCTATTGCCGTTTTTTGTAATTCCATTGCACGCACCATTCGTCTCCTTAACCTCTCTCCAAGTTTGGACTTACTTTGTCGACCGTAATGTAGCAAGCAATCAGTTAATGCATCAACTCGCCTAGAGGGCGACATCTCCTTGGTAATTGATGCAAAACCCCTCAAATACGACCACAAACGCTCCATTACTTCACCATCAGTGAGTCCAAATCCTGAAACCCGCCTAGGGCTATACATAATCTAGATGAATTAAGAACAATTAGTTGATTTCTTTTGGTAGGTTTTTTAAACAGTTTGATTGGTCCGAAACAAGCGCAGACGTTTACCTGACATTGAGCTTTGTGACCATAAACGTGAAATATCGGGATAGCAAATTTGATGTGGTTTAAAATGTCTGAGAATTCTGCTGAATTCTAAACAAAACGAAAGTAATATTTTAATAACAGTCTTAGACAGTACAGATACATTTTAGAGATATGTGGTATTACTTGATCTTAAGATAAATATTAATACCCAGCAGAAAATATGCAAAAGAGCCATAACAAAAATATAGTTTAAAATAATTTATTAGAAAGCTAACGTTTCGTCTTTAATTTAAGACATCTTCAAAGCAATGACATCTCCATTCTCCAGACGAACTCCTCATTCGAGAAAGTCTTCTCATTAACAAACTCAAACCCTCTCTCAACTTACAAGGCAGTTTGGTCCCTCTACTTCTACTCTGATCCACTCCTCTTTCTACTTTTGTAATATAATATCTTGTAAATAGTTGTAATTTATTCATATTTCTGTGTTTTCCGCTTTGTATGTCATTGCTTTGAAGATGTCTTAAGTTTAAAGACAAAACGTTAGCTTTCTAATAAATTATTTTAAACTATATTTTTGTTATGGCCCTTTTACGTATTTTCTGCTGGGAATTAATATTTATCTTAAGATTACGATTTCATCTATCGATTAAGATTACTGGTTCATCTATCGCTGGTATTACTTGACATGTTTAAATCTTGGGAAAATTAAAAATGTTCACAAACATATATAAAAATAATGGGAGAGTACTATACCTGCAACTGGCGGTGGAGAATACAAGAAATGTCATACAAAACGTTGTAGCTAATATCTGTCCCCTCCGCTTTTGACACCATGTCGTTAATAAGCCAAACAGCGTACGAAATTCTAAATCCAAGAAACATGGGCATTATACAGGTACAATTAAGTAATCTACTCTAAATAACTTGCTTATTATCATATTACACTCGCGTTATCAAATTATCGCATACACCCTTACTGACTTTACTGTAGGGTGCTGTATTTGATAGATTCTTCTTGCAGTGCTAAACTTCGTTACTGTAGTTCGTTTTTGAGTTATTTCACTTTACATTTCATGCAATTAACATATATTTTACGCCCCAATTGTATAATGATTATGGAGGATATACAGTTTCACTATAACAGTTGTACTGTGCATATACTGTACTGTACCTTCCACCATGTTTTAAATTCACAAAAGCTTTCGGGAATTCATGTCTGCATGCCCTGCCGAATATCCCAGTCTCGTCCAGTCCTGCAAATCGTTGGCTTGATCGCAATGCATTGCCAGCTAAGAAATTGTTGCAATCCTACAGTACATGAAATAAAAAATGTTTAAGTCATATAACAAGCCTTAAAAGATAGGTCGGTCACGGACATTTGTCCGACCCATTCGTGAAATTGTCTGACGTAGTGAAACCACTGGACATTCTGTCCGACCTAAGTGAAACTAAGGTTTATTGTTTGTCCAACCCGAGTGTACTGGTGTCCAACTGAACTGTAGCTTTGTGCTTTGTAGGTTGGACAAAGCTACCATTCAGTCGGACACCAATACACTTGAGTGTATTGGTGTCCGACCGAACGGTAGCTTTGTCCAACCTAAATCAAAATGTAACCTAGTCCAGCAGAGTGATGTATAAAAAGTGAACTGGAAATGTTGTTTTAATGCAATCGAGGGCGGGGCGGCGAGCGAAATGGTGAAGTGGAAGACGGGCTTATTGCTTAAGTTTGCAAAGTCTTACTGAATAACTGCTGTTTTTGGCAAGCAAGTTAATTTGGCTTGGAAATAAGTATAAATGATGCAAATTATTTAATATTTTCATAACGTTTACCGTTCAGAATTAAAACATTGTGCTGATATTAATTCGTGTCATTCAGACTTATTTCGAAGCCAAATTGAACTGAAGGTCATCGGACATCATCATACATATGTCCGACCCAAACTCACAGTCATCGGACAATTTGTCAGACGGCCCTGTGAACGATACTTTAAGGCCTTTCATATAAGATGATTCAGAATATCTCAATTTCCTTTCAGGAATCCAATGGATACATACTGTATGTTAAATTAAATGTAACATCACTTTGAAATACTGCATTAACAAATTAGTACAGTAACATACACTATCAGAACTCTTATCTTGATAACTGTTAACAAAATTATCCACTACTTGCTGATCAGCGAAGAGAACACCAGATCGTACAGGTTCTAATACACTAGAGCCAGATGACTTCTTTCTTGGTAGTCCAAAAAGAGCGTCCAAAGACTCAAATGAAACACCGTTCTCCTTTAAAATAATTAAATTATATTCAATTCAATTTATATGTATATTCAATTACCTGTAGCTTCAATATTCTCACGTCAGGTAAAATTAATCCTATCATCAAAATACAAAATACTTGGTAAACTTATCATGATCTACAGTATATCTGTCAACTTTGCAAATCATGGTCAACCTTTCCTACTTAACAATTGTTTTGTATATGATGCAATACAGTACTGTATATCATCCCTGTGCAATGGTCAAGCAGACACCAGCCATTACCAATATTACGGACAGCTTACTGTTAACTATATGTAGATTTAATTAAAAACATAAACGTTCTCTGACTAAAATTTTTTATTTAATTTTTTATTTATTTTTTTTATCTACCCGTTGAAGACTACAGTTAGGAAGTCGAAAGCTCGTTTTAAATAAAAAATTTTAGTCAGAGAACGTTTATGTTTTTAACTATGTCTAAACCTGGCTACGCTATCTCCATATTTTCTTATATGTAGATTAGTAAATATTACAAAGGCATTCAATTTTGAATGTTGAGTGCGCCTCTGTATCTTCTATAATGATAGGTGAGTGAACAATTTCCTGGACTTACAGTAATGTTAATTATGTAGCACTTTTCAGTTGACTGATTTTTATCATTAAATTACTATATGTACCTTAGGACATGCAGGACAAACGTTTTCTCCATCACGTTCAGGGCATATATCTTTCAGTGCATGTAAGTCAAACCTAAAATGTCTAAATATCATATTTAATACAGGTATTTATAATCTATATTGAACGAGCAAGATGGATTATGCCTCATTTATATCTCATTATGTATTCAAATTTTCAAGTCACATCAACATCATTCATGTATAGTAGGTATATACAGTAATTATACTTAATTATAAGTATCCAATTAGATAATTGAATATAATTACCTAATTATAGTCATTCGTATGTATATAATTACTTAATAATTACCTAATTACATAATTAGGTAATCAGCAACTTAAAAGTTAGAATAAATAATGAGATACAAAAAAATCGCAACATTTGCTGGGCTGCCTATGATTTATTCCAGGGCGCTTATATAATGGGCGGTGAAACGGATATAGGCGCGCTGATCGATGTGTGATGCGGCAGACTGGTAACAAGTCAAGTTAGTTAGTAAAATAAATAAACATGGCGACTGCAAATTCGGAATCATTGTCAAACTCAAATACAGAGTTTTTCTTACACGAAGAAGCTGAAAGCGAGCTTACACTTTCCGTCCCACATTCTAATCGTGTTGAATATTGCAATATCTCTGCCAATATTACAGCAAGGAGTTTGACATCGTTTCTCCAAACGCTTTTGCAAGTGTACAAGCCGCCTGCAAATGAGAACTGTATTTTAACTTTGGCAGTGGAAGCAGCATTCAATGAGAGTAAGTCTGCACTCGTAGAAGAGTTTCTACAGAACATATTGTGTTTGTTTGAAGTTTGTTTTAGCCAGGCAGGAGCAGAAAAACACTCTCAGAAATATGCAATAAGCTTAGAAAAGGCATTTGCTGAAAAACGACGTTCTAGTTTTCACCATTGTGCAATTAAATGGTCATGGGAGAGATTATTTACTAATACAGCAAGTCAGAGTAGTGAATATAATCAAGCTTCAGAACAGTTGCTGCAGCAAATTCTTCAGTACTTTTGGTCTTCAAGTAGTAATAGTTGTATTACTGTTGAAAGTCCTGAAGAGGAAGGTGAGGAAAGTACTGAAGATCCTGCTGCTTGTGATGAGAGTGATTTCGACAACATCAAAGATCATGCTGGTTGGGTAGTTAAACGAGCTAGGGAGACATTAATGAAGGGAGATAATAAAATACCGGCAAAGGAAAGTGTCACAGAGTCGACCCTTGTCTATGGAGATAAAGCTGGGGCATTGGAAATAATTTCTGCCTTGGGGAAAGATGTTAAGCAAGCAGATGGAAAATTTAGATTTGTTGTTCATGAACATGTTGTTCCTTTTTTTCTGTTTCTTCATAATTTAGTTGAAAAACTCATTAATCCTAATAATGTTGTGCTTCAAAAGGGAAATATCCTGATTGATTGCCTTGATAAAATGGCCAGACATAAGGAGCTAAGAGAAAAATGGGATCACTTAACATCAAAGTCAGATGAAACATCCGTCATTGTTCTCCAAAGAATTGCGACGTTCTTTGTTAAATCGAAACAGCAAATACTTAGAGAAAAAAGGGGCCTAAAACCAAATAAAAGTAGCATGGCAGTTCGGCAACAACTTAGGCAGTCAAATAATAAAGCAACTTCATCTCGCTCCTCCAAGGAAAAGAATACAGTAAATGAGGAAGTTAATAAATTAAGATCTGGGGATTTACATCTGTTAGCATTAATCAATTTTTAAACAGTTTAACTGTTCAATCTCAGTTAAAACAGGAGGATTTACTTGGGAAACTTAATGGGAAAGAACTTGCAACGATATTAAAATCAGTGGGAAAGCCATCCTTTTTGGGAAAGAAAAAAAGCAAGCAAGTTACAACACTGCTTGAAGTTTTAAAAGCTGGAAACATAACTGTGAAAGATATTGACGCAACTTAACTCTATTAGGGGCGGACCATTGGGTCAATCCAGAAAACATCCATACCACCCCCACGGAGGAAATAGGAAGTTAACCCCCCTACCCCCTTCGGATGTCCTAATACACTTACTATTATCAGAAACAATTTTTTCTGCCCCCTCCGGACAGCAGAAATTTCCTCTGAGGGGGGAGTATGAATCTTTTCAGGAATGACCCATTAGAAAAGTGTAGGGGGGGAGCAAAAATAAAAATCGAGCAGGGGAAACAGAAAAAAAAATTTGTGCACCAGAAAAGTAAAAAAAAATTCGTGCAGAGACTTTTCAATAGGGAAAATTATAAGTTGACAGGGCCTAATGGTGTGAGAAAACATTTCTAAACCTAAATGTTGCAGATATTGGTGCAAAAAAGCATTTTAAGCATGTTTTAACAAGAATTTGTCAGGGAAAATGTGTTTTGAACGTTAACTAAAGTGATGTTAGTGCGGGAAATTTTTTTTTACCCTTTTTTTGTCCTGAAAAAATTTGTATATCCTGAAAATCCCCCCCCCCTCGCCAACAATCGAGCAAGGGATTATTAAAAAAAACTATCGACACAAGCAAAAAATTTAAAAAAAATAACCGTACAGGTTGGAAATGTCCCCCCCCCCGTCACTTTTCTAATGGTCATCCCTTACAGCAAAAGATAATGCTATTACTAGAAGGGATATGTACATGGAAATTTGAGTAGACATTATATATACATTTATTAGACCTAACCACAGTTAATAGACCTAACCAGGAGCAGATGCAAAAGGCCCTCTCTGGCAGCCAAAAATATAAACTTTGACATTTCGAGTGAAGACCATCATTAGAAAAGCAACAGAATCAATGATGGATTTAGTCAAAACAAATTGTAAACAAACTACAGTATTTAGTCCTTGGAGATTGTTGATTATATTAGAATAAGAATACCCAACAGAAGAGTCAAACGTTTGATACAAAAACACATTAATTAAACACAGGCTATATCGTATAATGAAATGGATGCCCAGAGCAGGCCGCTTATATAATTATATAAGCGCCATGGCCCAGAGTATGTGCAAAAGAGCCATGCTGAACGAAACATCATTCTAACTTATACATTGTCTACTTTTGCTGCCAATTTTATATTTTTTGACAATCTTCAATGGGCCTTCAGTCCTTGTAGATGTTACTGTAATTCTCATATTACTGATCATATTATGTCCATGATATTCATGTTCAGCATACCAGAGGTTGAAACCTGAAAAGGCAGGTGGACCAAACAGCCTACAAACATATCTAAAATTTAAAATATTTATTTTAAGCCCTGAGAATTAACCAAAATATTTACCTTATAGTATTAGTGAACTGGATCCATATATGTTCTAAGATTTCCAGCTACAAAAGGTGGTCATATGTTGACAACCTAACCCCAACCTTATATACAGGGGTCTTTCCTCTTGGGGAGAAAACACCCATGTAAGAGATAGCCACATGATCTGCTGAAATCTGGCAGATTTTTAATTAGCAATCCTAGATGATATTAATTTATAATTTGCATTTTCTATGATTGTTGTAAGGGAATCCAAGATAGTTATTATATTTAGAAATCTGCTAGATTTTAGCAGATCACATGAATAGCATCTACCAGAGTCCTTTCCCCTCTAGCCAAGGTCTTTTCTCTCCAAGAGGAAATACCCTGTGTATGAGGGTTGCCTAATCCCCACACCCAACATTTATTATTTTTATTTTAAACATATTTATGCATTTGCTCCAAGAGCGATATAAGCTCATCACCCCCAACATTTCACAAAATGTCTACCACTGTTACAATGTACATGTATAATGTACTATATGGAAATAAGTCTCACTGGTACATATCGGTGCACTGGTAGGCAATGCCATGTTTAAAGTAGACCAGAAAGAATGGAGATCTTTTTACAACAAATAGATTCTAGTGTTTTATTTATGGATGTTTTGGCACAGAATACTATACAGAAGTCCATCTCCATTGTTTTTTATGTAAGTGCTATTCATCATGATTCGCAAGTACTGTAAACAGAAGGAGTTACCCCCCTGGATGTGTGCCATTCTGAATATTTCCAGGGGGTAACCGCTTCTGTTTACAGTACTTGCTAAGTGACGAATCATGATGAATAGCGCTTACGCAAAAAACAATGGAGTCACTCACAGACTTCTGTATAGTATTCTGTGGTATTGGCCCAATGACCCTGTTTCCATGTTTTCGGATGGCAAGCACACATTAAGGTTACACCCCCATGTTTCATGCACAAATATATCATCTTGATCCAATCACAAACCTACCCATAATCCCTAACCCTATTGTGCATGAAACATGAGAACATTGGAACAAGTATCCAATAAATGGCCAGGTGTATTATTGGTGCCATTTTTTTTGACCATCAAACTTTCCAAGGCCTTTTGACAAGTTGTTGATTGACCGGTAGAAATAGTTTTGTATACCTTTGCAATCAAACCGGACACCATACACAATATAGACAGCTCTTGACAAGTAATAATATTGTTTTGGTTGGACAGGGAAATGACTTTTTGAAGGGAACACAACATCTGTCAGGCAATAGAGAAGAAGTTCCTCAGGCTGTAAAGGAATTTTTCCATTATATTGAAGGGAAGTTGGTTCAGCTTCTGCGAAAATACTGTCAAAATCATTCACAGGTTGAAGTCTTTCGTTGTCATTCATAGTTGAACTATTTTCATCAATATTTATAGTTAATAGGTTTTGTTTGTGGAAACACCACGTAAATTTTCATGTTTCCACAAACAAAACCTATTATATTTTATCACCATGCAAACATACAAAGAACTTAATATTTATAGTTGTTGTCGAAAAATGTAAACAATTAGTTGTTTCCTTGAACCTCTTAGTAGAAGTAGACGGACTTCCTGAATCACTTGCTCGTCATTTATCACACATTTTGTTTAGAAAATAACTTCATGTAAGAAATTTCAAATATTTAAAAATTATTTCAATTTCAAGTATTTTATAATATGACAAATCCTTCGTCATTTTGCGATTTTGCACACGCTATCGTTGCCATGACACTTTGACAAACTATGTTCGATTCATGTTCGACGATCTTCGATTTTGTGACTGTCCTATCTTTAAAAAACGTTTTGCAGAAAATACTCAACTAGATCTTGGTTTTTTCCAA